AGTTCCTGTGGAGATCCTGTGGAGATCCTGTGGAGTTTGTAATCCTGTGGAGTTCCTGTGGAGATCCTGTGGAGTTCCTGTGGAGTTTGTAATCCTGTGGAGTTCCTGTGGAGATTGTGTGGAGTTTGTAATCCTGTGAAGCTTTTGTGGGGGTCCTGTGGGCCACAATCAATCCTATGGTGCGCTGGTGATTTTTGGATTTTCTGTGGAAGTCGTGCCTTATTTTAGTATTTTCATATTATATATTTATATATATTAAATATATATTAGTATTTTTATATATATTAAATTCCTAACTTTTCTGGCAGGCTTTAGCCTTAGTCAGCTGCACTGGGTGGCTTTCTTTCAAGCCTCTCCCAGGTGAAACATTTGGCATGCACTGGGGGGCTTTCTTTCAAGCCTCTCCCAGGTGAAAAGGTGAAACATTTGGCATGCACTGGGTGGCTTTCTTTCAAGCCTCTCCCAGGTGAAACTTTGAGGGCACAGTGTTGGCTGTTTTTCAAGCCTCAGAGGTCATCTGACTCGACCTTCTGCTTCTTTTGGTCTTCCTCTTTTGAGGTGCTGGAGGAAGACTTATCAGTCGATGAAGTTTCTTCTGGCCTTCTTTCAGGCGTCGCCCCTTCTTTGCTCTCCTCTTGAGAGGACTCATCTGGCCTTTTTTCAGGCCTCTCCACGTCTGGGGAAGGTTCATCTGGCCTTTTTTCAGGCCTCTCCCCACTTGGCCCTTCTTTCAAGACCACTGCAGGGCCTGCTTCTTGACTGGCAGGAGTCAGAACCACAGCTGGCTGTGGCCTTCTTTCAGGCCCCCCAAGCCTTTCCTCAAGGAACTTTTGCTGCAGTTCCAGGAAGGCTGCCCTCTCCTCTGCCAGCCTGGCTCTGTCAGCCAACACCTCCCTTTCCACTTTTGCCAGGTCCCTCTCCCTTTCTTTGATCAGCCTCCACTTTTGGGACCCTGGCTGTAGAGGCTGAACTTGGTTTGGAGGGTAGCCTTCCTGCAGGCCCCTTTCCCTCCTTTCTTGCACATCTGGCCTTTGGGACCTTTCAGCCTTTCTGGCCTCTCTGGACCTTTTGCCTCGCCCTTCTTGCCAAAAAGGGTCCCACTCTGGCCTGCCTTCCCAGTGTTCAGGCTCAAAGACTGGCCTTCTTTCAGGCCCCTTCTTGCCCTTTTCTTCCTGGCCTCCCTTGCCTTTTTCTTCGGCTTCTGGCCTTCTCTCAGACCCCTGCTTGCCTTTTCCCTTTCCCTTCTTGCCTTTCTCTTCTGTGGCTGGCCTTTTTTCAGGCCCCTTCTTTCAGGTCCCTTCTTGCCTTCTCCCTTGCCCTTCTTGCCCTTCTGGCCTTTTCCTTCTGGCCTTCTTGCAGGCCCCTTGCCTTCTTCAGAAGAACTTTGGCCACCATCTGCCCACCTGTCTCTTCTGGCCTGCAGCCATTGGTCTTTTTCGTCTTCATCTGCCCATTCTCTTTCCATTTCTTCTTTCCAGCTTCTCCAACCTTTGCCCCAGTTCCCCTGCCAGGGCATGCCTTCTTTCAGGCAGCTGGGCCTTTTTGCAGGCCTCTTGCAGCTCTTGAGTTTCTGTTTGCTAACAAAAAGCTTTGCTTGCTTGAGCCAAAAAAAGCGGAGTGCACACATTCGAGCATGTCTGTGGTTAGTTGTTGAGGCTGGAAATGTATAAATATGTTTGTTTGTTCAATGCATAAATACAACAAAATATACATATATTTCTTGTTTGGCTCAATACATATTTATATATATAGAGAAATTTTAAAGATATAAAGAAGTATCTGAAAATTTTCAAAAATGCTTTCGGTAAACACCACTGGCTTTAAAACTGCTGATACTTACATTGAACAGTTAAGCACCAAAGAGCATGTGAATGGATTGGAAAGTATATATTAGTCTATTCTTTTTGTGGGTGTCTCTTGAGAGCAGGGGAAATTCATACTTTAGATGGCTTCCCTACAGCTTAGTTTGATGTTGGTCAATCAGTATACCACATTGCAAGAGCTTAAGACACAGCCCTCCCAGATCACTCGCTCTTTTTTCATCGGCCAGCTAAATGCAATTGTCAATGTGCCTTTACACATGATCTACCTTCACTGGCCTTCCTTCAGGCCTTGAAGCAAAAACACAAATATATTGTTAGCCTTCTCTCTCAGGCCATTCCAAGCATATGAGTCCACATCTTTGACCAAATCAGTCAACATCTTTGACCAAATCATCCCTTTTTTGTTGCATCTTCTCTTTTGTCGCGCCTTCCTCCATCACAACTTTTTCCAACTCCAGGATCACACTGTGGTGCCCCCCCTGGAAAATGTTTGCCCATTTTCTTTGTGCAGCCCACTATGAGTTTCCACTGGCCTTCTTGCAGGCCTAGTAGATAGGCTTGATCCTTTCCCAAAACTTTCTTCACATCTGACCATGGCCTCCTTTCAGGCCCTGAGTAAGATGGCTTTTTCTTTGGGCCTTGCTTGGCTTCTGGCCTCCTTTCAGGCCCTGAGTAAGATGGCTTTTTCTTTATGCATTGCTTGGCTTTTGGTTTGCCGGCTGGCTTCTTGGAAAGACCAGGCCTTCTTGCAGGCCTTGAGCTTCCATCTGCCACATGCTGCTGGGCAGCTGCCTGGGCAGCCTGTTGTAGTTGCTCCCTGTAACTCGCCCTCTGTCGTTCTAAAATTGACATGGGTCGCTCTCTATCCTCATGCTCTGGTGATTTCAAGATCATGGGGAACCCATGAGAATCTACAGAGACCATTGAAATTTCTTCTTTCAAAGTTCTGGCCTTCTTGCAAGCCTGTTCTGAGCCAGGGGCGCTCTCGGTGTGGCTCTTGCGCAAGGGCAACCCCACAGAGCTGGAGCTATTGGCTTTCTTGCAAGCATCTTGGGAGGGCTCTTGTGCTTTCTTGCAAGC